GCCCTTTCCAAGGTTTTCCAAGTAGAGAATACACCAGGGGTCTCAAACATGCGGCCCCCCAGATGATAGTTTGTGGCCCTCGCCTTGCCTGCCCCCCCAAAGCACCCACACATCCTCTGCTGTCAAGAGTTAAGCCTTGCCTCGCTCCCTCTTGCACCCTCCATCCAGAACTGCAGCCTGCCAGCCGGCCCACCTGTCTGTCGGCTAAGGAAACTCCTGGGCGGCTTCCAAGGCTACCCAGACTGGCTCTTCTCCCAGCGGGCTCTACCGTCAAGAAACCTAAACAAACCACTGAGCTCTCCAGCCACCCCACTAAGCTATTGCAAATATTTCAGGATGCTTCTGGGGCTAGCTGTAAGAGGGGGCATTTCCTCTTGGGTTACGTAGTCCCCGATTACTTAGGGGAGAAATGGTGTGGGCAGATTCTCTGCCAAACTCCGTCACACCAAGCTCCAGGACCATCAGCGCGGCTTTCATTCGGGAGCAACATTCCGAACGTTTAAGCTCGAAACAAGCGTGGCTGAAGCTTCCTGGCTGCTGGAAACCCGATCCTCTGCCAGGATGAATAAAAATCACAGCATGAATCACAGCTGCCGGGCAGGATCCTGACACATCGCTTCAGAACATACAGCAGCTTTTTACTGCTGGTTCTGGCAAGCGTCAAACCTCCAAAAGCGCCAAACCTTCTTTTTCTGCATTAGACACACACCCCCCTCCCCAAAACACACATCCCTTGCATTTCCACGTCAAAATACACTGCTCTATAAGCCTCCAAGCATAGTGGGGAAATCAAAAGCTGGAGGATGTAACACGTGGCTGATCTCAGGTGGCTCGAAACCATTCGGTGGCCCCCGCTTCGTTCATCATCAAAATCCATTTGCTGGGGCCATTTCCGTACCTTGTACAATCTGTAATAATGCACAGCGACGTCATCCAGCCGGACGGCTTCCTTGATGTATTTGAGATGGGCTTCGGAGGCTGTCAGAGCGGACTGGTCCTTGTGCATGATGGGGATGTGCTTCAGAATGTAATCCTTCCCTCTTTTCGCCACCACCTGCCGGCAGAGAGAGAGAGAGAGGACACACGAGATGTTAGGGGACGGGGGGAGACGGTGGTGGAGGAATTTATTTATTTATTGCACTTCTATGCTGCCCATCTAGACATTGTCTACTCTGGGCGGCTCAGCAAAGAGCCCCAGCCACCCACGGCCCCATTGCAAAGAGATATTAGGTGAAAAAGAGGGAAGGAAAAAAAGGTGAAAAATTAGTTCAACAAGAGTGTAGAAAAATATAATGTTCTTTATTTCAGTGTAAAATGCCCGACGTGTTCTGGCGTTTCAGCCTTGTTCCAAGGGTTATATAAAATAAAAAGAACCACACTTTAACTTATTGGAGACCATATCCTAAAAATACAGTCATATAAACATGATTCTATAATTCTACATCACATCCGCACAATTTTTTAAACTGTATTCTTGTGTTAATTAATATTCTCGTCTAGAGCACTGCCTCAATATGTTACAATTAGGAAGGTCGACGTCGCAACAATATTTCATTTACTCTGTAGCCATAAATATTATCTATACATACTGGGTTTATTAAGCTCTAATTAGCTCTTTCCTTGTTTATTCTGTCTGTAACCGGCTCAATTAAATCAATTCTAGTACAGAAGGGGGAAAAATGGATATGCAGGCTTTCTCCCCCCTTCTGTACTAGAATTGATTTAATTCAATGTTCTGAGCAACGGCGCTGAGTAAGATGAAAATAAAATATGATCCAGCTCTGCCTATGGTAGCCTTATAGGCTCAGATTTTGCAGAATGCATCTTGTGCGCCATGGGAGAGTCAAGGCGACACTGAAGCTATTGCCGTTACCACTGGTGGCAAGTCCACAAGACGTTATGTCATGCAGTTGCCACGCCATCCCGGACACTGGATGAGGCCCTTGGGAGTCAGAAATGTCCTGTGTCCAGCTTCATATCCTCATCCTCTCTGCTGTAAGGACTGGGAATCTGGATTTTCCATATTGCATGGTTTTAAACTTCATTTTGTGAACGGGACCGTCAGGTTCCACTACAAGGTGGGACCGAAATCACAAAGACACATTCAAGTAACGGTGAGCCCAAAATTAGAAGAAAAAAAAAAGCACAGAAAGAAACCAATTCTCTGAATGCCCACGAATAGATATTTTTCATGACCTCAATGCTGTTCTTGTCAGAGGGCTGAGAAATCTTAATTTTCAACGGGCATTTTATTGCTTCTGCAATAAACGTCTGCTCGCTTTAAACGCTGCATGGAACAGACATACGGCTTTAGTTCTCTGCTTTTTCCCCTTCAGGGCTTTGAGTTTTCTTTCGTTTTGTTTTAAGGGAAGCAGTAAATGAGCTTTCTAAGTAATTAAATGCTACCATTTTCTGGCCGTCTTAATTTTTAAGAAAACAGGAACACAACACACACACACGCACACAGTCTGTGGTTGCTACATGAAGACTCTGTTTTTGTAAGAGTTGTGTGTGGTGACACTCCAAGAAGACCCACAACTATTTTATGTTTTATTCTCCAAGGCCAAGAAGAGGGAGAGAGGCAGAAATCCTAACTGTGGGCGAGTTTTCAACGGTGTTTACATCTACCCCGGTCTTTTGTCCAGTAAACCCAGTGAAGGCAGTGGTTCTAACGCTTGACAGCAGGCGCTCTGGGATCTGGAATGCATTTTTTAATTTCACAAGGACCGTCTCAACCGAGCGGCTGTATAGGCACTATCGGAAGTACCTTGGCACTCAAAATTAAAATGTCAACACGGAGGAGAGGCTGAACACTCCTAGGAAGAAGGGCTTTAAAAAGAGTCAACAGGAAGAACTCAAGTGGAGAACCTTTTTACCTGGCAGGTTTGCATGGTTATCTGGGGAGCTGACTGAACTCCCGGCAGAGAAAACTGGAAAGAGCCCAGTCAAATCCACAAGAAAGGCCATCAGGCCATCATGGAAATCTGGATGGTGAGGTGTCAATACACACAAACACACATACAGAGAGCTGTTGGCTGATGGCCTTCAAGTTCCACCTTGCTTACGGAGACCAACAGACCAACCTCGGCTCTGTTTTCACTGGAGGCTTTGGGCATCACACGGGGGGGCCTTTTCTACACACCGTGCAATGGAGAAATGAAAACAAGGTGGCTTCCCCAGTCTTTGGGAGAGAGAATTCAAGGGAACATGGATGTCAGAGCGCCTCTTGAACTCCTCACTCGGGGCATTAACCCACAAGGCTCCCTTTGCAGGATGGGCCGGTTGTCATCAAGCCAGCTCTTGACTTATGGCGACCTCCTCTTTCTGGCCATCCAGCGTATCCCTCTGGCTGTCCCTTTGCTGCCCTTATAGATAGGGTGCTGTGAGTTGGGAACGACCAACTGAGAGGATGTTTTGCTGCCGAGGAGAACGCGGAAGAGTTAAAGGCCAGCTTTTGCACCTTCTCCGCTTCTCCTCCCCGCACCCACGGCCTACGGATCACAACAAGGGGGTGGTGGTGGAAATGAATGTCTCCCTTATGCATTCCCCCATGACATCACCCGCTGTTTATAACCAGAAGCTATTTCGGGGATGCCCACAGCTGCTACAATTAGGCACTTGGTATTCCAACAAGGCAAAAGATTGTGTGTGTTAGAAGGACAGACACACACCCTGTGTGCATGTGTGTGAAGAGCAAGGACTCTGGAGTGCACAGGACTCACTCTTCCCAGCCAACCATCCCCAAAGCCTTCCTCTTGTCCCACTGCCCTTCAAAAATGTGGAATTAGCAGGTTTTATGAATACTTGAAAAGGGCTATAGCGAAGCCCAAACTCATGTCACATTTCAGAATTTGTACATTTAGCAATGTACGGAAGTGAGAGCTGGGCCATAAAGAAGGCTGACCGCCAAAGAATCGATGCTTTTGAATTGTGGTGCTGGAGGAGGCTCTTGAGAGTCCCCTGGACTGCAAGGAGAACAAACCTATCAATTCTAAAGGAAATCAACCCTGAGTGCTCACTGGAAGGACAGATCCTGAAGCTGAGGCTCCAATCCTTTGGCCATCTCATGAGAAGACTCCCTGGAAAAACCCACTTGATGTTGGGAAAGTGTGACGGCAAGAGGAGAAGGGGACGACATAGGATGAGATGGATGGACAGGGTCACTGGATCTACCAACATGAATTCTGACCCAACTCCGGGAGGCAGTGGAAGACAGGAGGGCCTGGCGGGCTCTGGTCCATGGGGTCACGAAGAGTCGGACATGACTTAATGACTAAACAACAACAATATATAGCATTATGTATAACCTGAACTTGTCATCTTTCCCTCTTTATTTTTGGTATAAGACTTTAAGACTCAGAGCCCCTCAACTGGCTTTATCTATAAATCCAGGACTGAATCAGGGAGTCCTGATGTCCCTCCCCCCCCCAGGGGCTTTTCAGAGGTTGCTCCACGGGAAGATCAAGAATGGCGGACATACGCTACCAGATTTCCCCCATTAATTCTCATTGACACAGGAACACTGGGCTCACTTTAAACGGCGTGGCCAAGTCACAAGGAGGTCCAACAGGCTGGGCTGACATCACAAAGTGGTAGACCAACAACACACTCGCCATGATTCTCTGCAATGTGACTCGACAAATGAAACTTTCCAAAAGCCGGTTTCAGACGGCATCGTCCAGCTCCTGACATGGCTCCTGGGTTCTGTGGTCACCCCACGTCAATGCCTGGTGCCATTCCATCATCCACCAAGCCTCCTCCCTAAGCCTTGCCCATTTTCTTCCCCCACCATAGTCTGGTTCTTAAGGATTCCTTGACATCGCTACGTAAACCACCGTTCTTTGAACTAGCTCTATGGATCAAAGGCAGCTGGAAATCCTTTTTTAAAAGATCTCTAAGAACAAGGATGGTCTCACTGGAGACCAAGATCATCCATGTCATGATATTCCTGATGATTATGTACGGGTGTGAATGTTGCACAGTGCAGAAAGCTGCAGGGGAAAATTTTTTGATTTGTTTGAAATGTGGAGAGCTTTACTGTCAGGAAGTCAAAAAGTGGGTGCTAAATCAAATCAAACCTGAACTCCCTCTAGAAGCAGAAATAACTAAACTGAGGCCATCCTGCCTTGGGAATATCATGACATAGTCATGTCCCAAAGACAGTAATGCTTGAAAATGTGGAGAGCAGTAGGAAAAGAGGAAGATTGAATGAGAGAGGGATTGACTCAGGGAGGAAGCCACAGCTTTTGAGTTTGTAAGAGCTGAGCCGGACTGTGACAAACAGGAAACTTTTGGGGTCACTAAATCATAGGCTGGCCAAAAGTCAGGCACACGACAATGACACAATTAAATGTGCGAAAGACCAACACAGAAGGGGGAAAAAAACCCACAAAATCTCCATCATTTAAAACTGCCCTCTCAAGAACTGAAAGCTAAACAGGAAGGAGCTCCAGCTGCTGGAATTCTGCAGGAACCGATTTGAGGCTGGCCAAGCTGGAAAGTCCCTGTGCCGGCCTCAGCAGTTTTTTTTTCCAGCTAACAGAAACACACAAACACACACATCTCCCAGGCAGGCAGACACGAAGCCAGATGTCCAGAATGGCTCAGAGCAAGGCCAGCCCCAGACATCTGTGGCAAAGTGAGCTGGGGTCGGTAGGCGTTAAACAGAAAGGAACATAAAGGTGGTTTGAAATGAGAAGCCAGAGCGGTCGAAAAGATGCTCCTACCCACCCAAGCCGGGAAGTAAGCTTCGGGCTCAAAGTACTTCCCAAAGTGCTTGTTCCGTTTGAAGTTCCCCAGGTCGGCCTGCAAGGCAAAGGCCGCCAGCAGGAAATACGCCTCCTCACGCAGGACGCACTGGGAGCGCAGGACCTGTTTCCGGAGGTGCCAGTAGTAATAGTAGCGGGCCGTCCGGTCGCTGGAAGGAGACAACAAAAGGGAGGTGGGGAGGGGAGGGAGCAGCGTTAGAAAGGAAGCACCATCCACGGAAAGGACAGGCTGGGCGGAACAATGGACGCCAGGAATACGGGATGCTCGACTTGCAGGTCACCTCCACCTGCGGGGTTTTGGTAGCTCAACGGCTACTCTGCAACTCGGCTGAGCCTGCTCTCATCCTAGCACTCAGGCATTCCAATGGGCACGAGGAGACATCTTTGACCCTCCCGCCCTTGGTGCACTCAAAATGGTAAGGCAGGAGCTGTTCTCCACCATCACAGGAGTGCAGGACACACAATAATGGGCTCAAGGGACAGAAAGCCAAATTTAGGCTGAATCTCTGGAAAAAACTTCTTAACTGTTAGAGCAGTACGACAGTGCAACCCAAGACCTCGAGAGGTGGTGAGCGCTCCAATGCTGGAGGCCTTGAAGAGAAAACCGGACCACCCTCGGACAGATCTGCTTTGATTTGGATTTCTGCCTTGAGCAGGGGGGTGGACTCGATGGCCTTAGAGGCCTCTTCCGCCTCCATGATTCTAGGATTCTAACTGTGGTCAAGTAAAATCATCATCATTTTGGGACTACAGAGCTGGAAGGGATCCTATGAACCATCACGTTCAACCCCCACTGTCCAACTGCACAGAAAGACTGAGGTTCTCTTGCTTTCATGGCGTTCTTGGCTAATAAATGGATGAAGCTCAGTCTTAAAAAGGCGAAATGCTACATTTTTATTCTTTAGAAGTGTCTGAGCTACAAATCAGGAGACTTTCAGTTTGAGGCTTGTCTCGTCTGTGAACTTCCGGGGCTGCTTTCAGCAAAGCTGTGGTCAACAAGAATTTGAGGACAACCCAACCCAAAACTGACCGTTGTATGGAGTATGATGACACCAGATGTGAAAAACCTCACACATCTGAAACACTACATATATGCCATGTTATGATGACCTGAACACACATGGCACTAGGGAATAAATAACAAGACGTTATCATATACAGTATGTTGTGTGTCATCAATCTGCTTTCAATTTAAAGCAATCCTCATCAGTTTAATGACCTCCAAACAATGCTTATCATTAAGAGCCCGATTGAGCTCTCGGTAATTCAAGGTCTGACTTTCTTATAACCTTATTATAAGCACTGTCCTCACCAATGTTAATTACTATTCCGATTGAATAGACCCGGCCTGGTATTCTAACAGGAAATAAATGAGGAAAACACTTCCTTTGACTTTTTTTTGTGAGTCTGTTTTATTGGACTGTATCTTGTTTTAAGGTAAGTTGCCTTAGAGGGGTTTTGCCCTGAAAAGATGGCCCTGGAAAAAAAATTTAGGCAAAACTGAGTAAAATTAATGAAAATATGAAGAGATTATCCTTTCTAACAATGAATGGTAGCAAATGAGGTTATGTCAAAAATATGTTCAAGCTGTGGCTTTGATAAGTCAGCGCGGCTGTTGTTGTTATGTGCCTTCAAGTTGCTTCTGACTTCTGGCATCTCTCTGAATTAGAGGCTCTGATAACATGCTAGTGGATTTAAATGGGATCAGATTAACCAGCCACATGATTCCTAAGCAATAGGCTAAGTAACAAAGGATGATTTAATTTTGTTTGCAAACCTACGAGAGCCGGTATTTCTTCCTCAGCAGCAGATTTCAAAGAGGCAGCTGTATTTATCTCAAGTTTTTCTAGGGCCACATTTGAATTTCAGCATAATCAGAGAGAAACTCTTGTAACACAAAGAGAAACAGACCTATCTCAGCAGAAGGGTTTGAAAAATACTTCCTCAGCTTCAAATGGACTGGAGGTGGGTGTAATCCACAGAATACACACACACACACACACACACAAAAACCACACGCAAAGCCTTAAAGCACAACAATCCATTCAATGCAAGGGCCAAACAGATGAAACTCACAAGTGGAAAAGCGCCTTCCATTAGGCATAGGATTTTTTTTTTACTACAAATCCCATAGTTCTCCATTCTGGGAGTTATACTGGACAGACCCACTTTGACCGGAAAGGTTCTGGTATCTGTTGACACCTCTCTCTCATGCACACATCCTGACTGCTGAGGTTATTGGGCTCCTTCCATCCTTACCTGATCAGGCGGCCGTTTTCCACGTAATACTGGACTCGGAAGTGAATGATCATGGGGGGACCAAACTGGTCTATACCCTAAACAAAAAACAAAGGGATTAAAAAAAAGTTCAGGGTCCTAATTGAGAAACTGGTTGGAGGGGTCACATACAGGAAAAAAAGCATTACAGGATGAGACCCAAGAACCCCCTCCCCGAATTAGTGTTCATTTATTTATTTGAAATATTTTTATCCCACCTTTCTCCTTAAAAAAGGACTCAAGGTCATTAAAAGACTACATTTAAAGCTAAAAACAGGAAGTGTACAAATATTAAAAAAGATCAAATACCACACTTTAAAAACAACAAAAAACCCCAAGTAAACGAAAGCAACACACACAAAAAAACACACACGCGTGCAAAGCCGTAAAACACAACAATCCATTCAATGCAAGAGCCAAACAGATGAAACTCACAAGTGCAAAAGCGCCTTCCATTAGGCATAGGATTTTTTAAAACTACAAATCCCATAATTCTCCATTCTGGGAGTTATACCGGACAGACCCACGTCGACCGGCACCTGAATATGGCTCACCTGGGAGAAAGGCCTCAGCCTGAAAGCGCTAGGCCTAGCTTTGCCCAAGCTTCCTGTTCAGACAGGAAGTGGCCCTGCTCCTAGTTGGAGGCTTCACTGTCTGAACAGGAAGCATGGGCAGAGCTGGGCCTCCCCCCAGCTAGGCCATTTATCTGAGTGAGCCACCCTTTTGGGCCTGTCAGTGTGAGTCTGACAGGCAAGAGTTCCCAGGATGATGGGAGGAAAAAAAGCATTACAGGATGAGACCCAAGAACCCCCTCCCCGAATTAGTGTTCATTTATTTATTTGAAATATTTTTATCCCGCCTTTCTCCTTAAAAAGGATCCAAGGCGGCTTAGGTATCCCACCTTTCTCCTTAAAAAAGGACTCAAGGTCATTAAAAGACTACATTTAAAGCTAAAAACAGGAAGTGTACAAATATTAAAAAAGATCAAATACCACACTTTAAAAACAACAAAAAACCCCAAGTAAACGAAAGCAACACACACAAAAAAACACACACGCGTGCAAAGCCGTAAAACACAACAATCCATTCAATGCAAGAGCCAAACAGATGAAACTCACAAGTGCAAAAGCGCCTTCCATTAGGCATAGGATTTTTTTTTTACTACAAATCCCATAGTTCTCCATTCTGGGAGTTATACTGGACAGACCCACTTTGACCGGCACCTGAATGTGGCTCACCTGGGAGAAAGGCCTCAGCCCAAAGGCACTAGGCCTAGCTTTGCCCAAGCTTCCTGTTCAGACAGGAAGTGGCCCTGCTCCTAGTTGGAGGCTTCACTGTCTGAACAGGAAGCATGGGCAGAGCTGGGCCTCCCCCCAGCTAGGCCATTTATCTGAGTGAGCCACCCTTTTGGGCCTGTCAGTGTGAGTCTGACAGGCAAGAGTTCCCAGGATGATGGGATCGGTAGTCAAAAAATATCCACAGATCCGAAGCCTATCCTCCATCTTTTGTTCCTCAGCAAATGATACTGAGAGATACACTGTCATCCTGACCAACAGCCGTCATCCGGAAGGACAGACCTGCTGAGCTTTCCTTCCTGCCCCCACAAAAAATGCTTCTCGGAAAAGATCAAATACCACACTTTAAAAACAACAAAAAACCCCAAGTAAACGAAAGCAACACACACAAAAAAACACACACGCGTGCAAAGCCGTAAAACACAACAATCCATTCAATGCAAGAGCCAAACAGATGAAACTCACAAGTGCGTGTCCGTGGTCAAAAGGGACTTGTGTGGAAACAGAAGCCCAAGATGGACTTCAGATTGTCTCCTTCCCTTGTTACCTGAAAATCAATCCCAGCCTTGTGCTATCTTGACACCAAACTCATCCGAGTCCATCCCATAATTCTCCATTCTGGGAGTTATACCGGACAGACCCACGTCGACCGGCACCTGAATATGGCTCACCTGGGAGAAAGGCCTCAGCCTGAAAGCGCTAGGCCTAGCTTTGCCCAAGCTTCCTGTTCAGACAGGAAGTGGCCCTGCTCCTAGTTGGAGGCTTCACTGTCTGAACAGGAAGCATGGGCCGAGCTGGGCCTCCCCCCAGCTAGGCCATTTATCTGGGCCATTTATCCGAGTGAGCCACCCTTTCGGGCCTGTCAGTGTGAGTCTGACAGGAAAGAGTTCCCAGGATGATGGGATCGGTAGTCAAAAAATATCCACAGATCCTATCCTCCTATCCTCCATCTTTTGTTCCTCAGCAAATGATACTGAGAGATACACTGTCATCCTGGCCAACAGGCGTCATCCAGAAGGACAGCCCTGATGAGCTTTCCTTCCCGCCCCCACAAAAAATGCATATCAAGGTCCTCATAAGAGAAAAGGCTCATATAAAGCAGGGGAAAAGGCTGGCTGGAGGAAGCTGAACCATATCAATGAGGAAAAAAAAAATCTGTATTTCAACCTCTGCGCGTCTGTGGTCAAAAGGGACTTGTGTGGAAACAGAAGCCTAAGATGCACTTCAGATTGTCTCCTGATCTGATGCTCTTTCCCTCGTTACCTGAAAATCAATCCCGACCTTGTGCTATCTTGACACCAAACTCATCAGAGTCTGGTGGCTACAGTGATCGGTGAGAGGCCAAGCTCACGACCTTCAAGGCGTCTGCTATTTATCTCGCAGGATCCATCTGGCATTTCAACACCCAGGCAGCTGCATCGGCACAGATTAAAAGATGCCGTCTATTTTCCCCCTCCCAAGGGCCTGGCGTTAAATCACTTCTGAAGCCACCGGTTCTTCCAGTTTAACCCGGATGACTAGAAGCTAATCCGTGTGGTTGTGAAGACCGCTTTGCGCTGCAAGAACCTTGGATGCAGGCTCCAGATTTGTTTGGGGAGGAAGGGTGGATTTGGTTAAGTTTTTTGGGGGGGGGGTATACTGGTTCTGGAGTCTGACCCCCTTCCCATCACCATCTCCTTTTTTTAAAAAATCTCTGAGCCCAATCCACCATGCCAAGCCAAGGAAAAAGCACCAGTTACTGCACCTTTCCTTCTCGCTGTTCCCTTGTACAAAACAGACAGATTAGTCTGAGCTGGAAGGTGACTGGCCTTGCCTGTGATTTTTTTTCCTCACCACCTCTGATCCTGCAGGTGATGTGAGCAGAGGAAGTGACTGGAGACCACTTCAGCTCAGGTGGGGCAGTAGCTTCCAGACATTTCTGAGTGAGCTGCAATGTCCACCATATTGAGCCATCCGCTGGTGAGAGATGATCAAGGCCTTCTCCGTGGCTGATCCCGGACTGTGGAACTCCTTGCCAAGGGAAACCAGGCTAGTCCCTCCCTGCTGCTCCTGCCCATGCTAAGCAAAAATCTTTTGTATTTGGGGAGGCTTTGGGAAATCAGCTGGCTGTTGAAAAGCGGCTTTTTACAGACTGGTGCAACAGATTTTAAAGTTCTTTTCAACTTCACAGTTTTTCAAGACTGTAACTCTAGGTAAAGGCAAAGATTCCCCTTGACATTTAGTCCAGTCATGTCCAACTCTAGGGCGCGGTGCTCATCCCTGTTTCCAAGCCATAGAGCCAGCGTTTGTCTGAAAACCATTTCTGCAGTCACATGGCCAGTGTGACTAGAAGACATGGAACACCGCAACCTTCCCACCGTGGTGGTACCTATTTATCTACTCGCATTTTTACATGCTTTCGAACTGCTAGGTTGGCAGGAGCTGGGACGAGCGATGGGAGCTCCCTCCATCGCGTGGATTCGATCTTACGACAGCCGGTCTTCTGACCTTGCAGCACAGAGGCTTCTGCGGTTTAACCCACAGCGCCACCACGTCCCCTGTAATTCTACTTTGTTTTAAATCTGGTTTTACCTGTAACTCTTTTAATCTTCTTATGAGCCAGCTTAAGTCCCAGTCTTGTGAAAAGAGTAGGATTTCAGACAGACAGAAAAGCAAACATACAAAGGGAACTGCAGCATTGCAGCTCCCGGAAGGCCACCGGTCATGGGTGGATAAACAAGCAATGTGTAGGGACGGTGTGTGTGTGTGTGTGTGTGGGGGCGGTGTGTGTGTGTGTGTGTGTGTGTGTGTGTGTGTGTGTGTGTGTGAGAGAGAGAGAGAGAGAGAGAGAGTAGTATTTGACTTGTGGCCAGTCACAATCAGCCCCCCCATTCTCCCTGGACTGAGACTAAAGCTGGCTCAAGAACAGGTTTAGACCAGAGACACGTGAACACAAAAACAGAGTTAGAAGGATAAAATACAACAAAACAGTTCTAGCCCTGAAAAACTATTAAGAACATGAAAGAAATGTGTTCATAACAACAATAATTATTATTATAATAATTTATTTTTTTAAGTATAGCACCACTCCGTAAAAAAGCCCATTTCCAGCATCCAGCCTTTGACTGGACATCTCATTCCTCCCCCCCCCCAAGCACAGCACCGGAATCAACAGCCGGCCCACGCGGGCATTCCTTTTATCAAGTCCTGTGAAGTCTGAGCCCTGCAGCCACCTCTGTTTCCCTCCGAGATTTTCGCTGCAGAGCTGCTGTGACCGTGAAGCCGTCCCGAAGCTGTTTTAGCGCCCTGAGCTTAGAGAAGGTTTCCAGCGTTTGTCAGCCTGTCGCCGCTTGAAAACCGCCAAGAGTCCCTTGAGGTACCTTTGAGAGGAACAAGCTGTATTTGGTTCAAGCCTTTGGGGTTCTCCAAAGGACTCGATTTAGGGAACTCATCACACCGAATCCTGCGGGGTCCACAAAACCGTGCCTGAAATACAACTTCTTAAAGTAGCGCTTCCCCATCCTTGGGTCCCTGGAGGTTCTTGGACTACAACTCCCAGAAATCCTGGCCAGCAGAGATAGTGGTGAAAGATTCTAGTGGTGAAGAATTCCGCAGGAATTCTTGCAGTCCAAGAACATCTGGGGAAACAAGGTCGGAAACTAGAGTCTTAATGTGTCATGAGAATTCCTCACTCAACGGTGCTTAAGGAGTGGAGCAATGAGTGCAAGAGAGAGAGAGAGAGAGAGAGAGAGAGAGAGAGAGAGACCCCAGCCCTGATGACCCCT